TCCCAGTACTTTGGGCAGCTCAGGTAGGCAGATCATAAGGTCAGGCTTTGGAGACTACCCTGGCAAACATGGGGAGACCCTGTCTCTACTAAAAATTCAAAAATTAGCTGAGTGTAGTGGTGGGCCCCTGTAATTCCAGCTACTCAGGAGGCTTAGGCAGGAAAATCACTTCAACCTGAGAGGCAGAAGTTGTAGTGAGCCGAGATCATGCCACTGCACTCCAGCCTCGGGAACAGAGCAAGACTCTGTCTTAAAAAAGAGAATTTTTAGTCCTGTCCTATAAAGGTAAGAGGTAGATAATAACCTATTCTGGCAAAACTGGTTCTTGCCCACACCATTTGAAAAGTCTAGAACCTGATTGTAAATGAAAGGATTCTTGACAACTACTGTTTGGCGCTTGATCTTTGACTCCAATGCCAAACTTGGAGAAGACAGCATGTTTCCACTGTTCTGAAAACAGTAGCTAATCTGTGCTTCCCTTTGCTGTCTCGAGTATAGTAAAACATTTATGAGGTACAGAGGCTTGCAGAAAAGTATTTTAGAAGTGGAGTCAGAACTCTACTGTGGAAAGGGGGCTGAGAGAATCATGAATCCGATTCCTTCTCTTGCCAGAGGAGACTCAGATTTGTGATGTGGTTTCTCTGGGTAAACATGAGTAAGTAACAGAAGAGATCAGTAAAACTCTGGTCCACTGCTTAGAAATTAGTGTTTTATGACCTCCCCTCTGCCAGGGAAATAAGCATGAAGACAGCGCTTTTCCTCCCACTATTTTTAAAACTCAGATGAGCAGGTGTTCTATTGCTCCACGTGGTGCGCTTTTGAACTGAGAGGGACTGAGCACGGAGAAGCCAGAGTAGCACTGCCCCCACCCCGGGCCACCTGAAACTCATCATGCTGCTTTCTTTGGAGCGGCTGCCAATTTAAAAGAAGACTTAAGGGGTTTCATTTGGCTCTGTGATTCTGCTGGAAGGAGGCCTGAGTAAGGTTGAGCTGAGGTTGCAGAGGAAAGGAGCCGTTTGTCCCACAACCTGAACAAAACAGAACTATGATGAAGCAGCATTGTCCATCTGAGGTAATACCCAAGGTACATTGCCTCATGTCAAGAAAATCAAGGACGTGAATACACATGGAGTGAGGTTAAGAATGGAGGTTTTACAGGCAAAAGAAGAAAAGAGAACATCTCTCTCTTCTGCAGAGAGAGAGAGGGGCTTCTGAGTGTGTTTCTGGTTTTCTGGTGAACTGCACAAGGTTTTATAGACTTGTTGAGGAGGTGGTGTTTGATTTACATAGGGTCCAAATATGGGTTGGACCAGGTGAGAGCTTTACATAGCTCGTGAAGAAGCTGGCTATCCACCCGAATCTTCTTATGCATATAGGTTTTCTACTTGGCCAGTGCATGTTGTCTGTCCCTTACTGCACTTGTGGTTGATAAAGAAAAAGGAAGATAAAGCCGTCAGGTTGAGCATGCCTGGCACCCAAGTAGCCTCCTATTGTTACAGCTGCTGGCATTCGCCTGTGCAAGCTTCCAGCTTGCTTGTCTATATCTGCAGCTCGATTTTACAGGCCGCTCTTTGTTAGAAATGGTTTTGGGGCTGCTTTTTATTCAAAGGGAAACCTTACCAAAGACTTCCTTACTTTCAATCTCTGACTAAATAATTTCTTTAGAACTCCTGTATCAATGGGACTTCTGGATTACAGTTGAAGTAGTTTTGGCTGATCATCAACTCTGCCTCCACTTAATAGTGAATGCTTTTATTTTCTATGTTTCAAGGAGGGTCTCTTTGCTTCTTGCCCTTCTTCAGAATAGCAGTGTGGAAATTGCATTTAAGAACACCTGTTGGGCACAGTGGCTCACACCTGTAATCCTAGAAATTTAGGAGGCTAATATGGGAAAATTGCTTCAGGCCAGGAATTTGAGAGCAGTCTGGGCAACATAGCGGTACCCCATCTCTCAAAAAAAAATTACTGGGTGTGGGGATGCATACCTGCTGCCCTGTTGGCCCAGCTTCTGTCAGGAGGCCATGGCAGAAAGGTCACTTGAGCTCAGGAGTTTGGGGCTGCAGTGAGCTATGGTCATGCCACTGTACTCCAGCCTGGGTGACTCCATCTCTTGAAAAACACAACAAAAACCAACAAAAGCCCACTTTCTATCTGGAATGGGAACTGGTAGAGCCTTATGACAGTGAGTGACTCAGAGGCAGAGCAAACGTTTGGCCACAGTTTTAATGGTGCAATTTGAACCTTGTGTTTGTCCTACTGACCAAGGCTGTGGCTGTCTTAGGGTCCTCCATATGGTCTGGCCTTGGAGGAGAAGAAACTGTTCTTGTTCAACACTTTCTGTTTGTGGAGCCCAAGATAAGAACTTTATGTTTGTTTCACAGATGAGAGGGTGCTAAATAGCTTGCTTAGAATCACACAAGTCAGAGGTAGGAGGGCCACGTTCTTTAACCAGTTTGTGAGTAGATGTCTTCCCAAGAACGTACAGCTGATGGCATAATGCTGACCTTAAGCCTAGGTTAATCCAATTGATGTTTAATGAAAAGCAATAGATTTCCTCCTGTAGCCCAAGAAAGAGCCACTTGACTACAGCTAATCGGTGAGAGAAATACCTCTATCAAAGGAATAGGTGATCAGAATTCATGGGCAGCAATGGGACATAGGAATGTGGAAATGAGAGGTGTGGGCTCCAGGGATGCTGGAGAAAACTCCTCCTCCAGTATTCCCTAACTCTCGAATGCTGCTGTCTTTTCAATACAAATACAAACCCACTCTGTTGTTTTGCACTGCCCCGTGCCCTGAATCTCTTGTTTGTGGACTGTATCCTCCAGTAACTTATTCAAGCAAGGATACACTGAAGCAAATTGTTCTGAAATATGACTTTATTTCTTCTTACACTTACATGACTGGTGGGGCATAGAATTTTTGATTGAAAATAATTTCCCATTCAAGTTTTAAAGATACTACTCCATTATTTCCCAGCTTCTGGTAGTGCTGTTGAGAAGCCTGAAATCATTCTGATTTTTGATTCTTTGTAAATACTGTTTTTTAAAAAACTTTTCTGAAAACTTAGGAGAGCTGTTTTCCTTTGTCATATATTGCAGATTTTCAAGACAATGTTCCTTGGTGTGAGTTTGTGTTCATGTGTTTAAACCTAGGAGGTTATGTTATTCAACTTGAGAAGTTGCCTTTTTTTTAACTTTTATTTAAGTTCAAAGGTTCAAGCACAGGTTTGTTATTTAGGTAAAGTCTGTCATGAGGTTTGTTGTACAGATCATTTCATTACTCCGGTATTAAGCCTAGTCCCATTTAGTTGTTTTTCCTGATCTTCTTCCTTCTCTCATTCTCCACTCTCTGAAAGGCTCTAGTGTGTGTTGTTCTTCCGCCTGTTGTATGTTCCTGTGTTCTCATCATTTAGCTCCCACTTGCAAGTGAAAATATCTGGTATTTGGATTTTGTGTTCCTGCATTAGTTTGCTAAGAATAATAGTCTCCAGCTTCATCTATGTCCCTGAAGAGAACATGATCGCATTCTTTTGTGGCTGCCTAGTGTTTTTTGTTGTATATGTACCACATTTTCTTTATCCAGTCTACCATTGATGGGCATTTAGCTTGATTCCATATTTTTGCTATTGTGAACAGTGCTGCCATGGACATATGCGTGCACATGTCTCTATAACAGAAGGATTTATATTTCCTTGGGTACATACCTAGTAACCCATTACTAGGTTTGCTGAATCAAATGGTATTTCACTCTTTAGGTCTTTGAGGAATCATGACACTTTTTCACAATGGCAGAACTAATTTGCATTCCCGAATACAGTGTGTAAGTGTTGTTTTTCTCTCTAACCTTGCCAGTATGTGTTTTTTTTTTTTTGCTTTAATAATTGCCATTATGACTGGTGTGAGATGGTATCTTATTATAATTTTCATTTGCATTTCTCTAATAATCAGTGACGTTGAGCTTTTTTAATATGATTGCTTGTTGCATATATGTCTTGTTTTAAAAGTGTCTGTTTATGTTCTTTGCCCACCTTTTTATGGGTTGTTTGTTTTCCTCTTGTAAATTTAATTTCCCTACCGATGTTTGATATTAGATTTTTGTGGAATGCATAGTTTACAAACATTTTCTCACATTCTGTAGGTTGTCAGTTTTCTCTGTTGATAGTTTATTTTGCTGTGTGAAAGTTTCTCATTTTAATTTGACCCCAGTTTTCAATTTTGCTTTTGTTACCTTTTCTTTTGGCATGTTCATGATGAAATCTTTGCCTGTGCTTATGTTTTGAATGGCATTGTCTCGTGTCTTGCAGAGCTTTTATAGTTTTTGGTTTTACATATCAGTGTTTAATCTATCTTGAGCAAATTTTTGTATGTAATGTAAAGAAGGGGTCTAGTTTCAGTCTTTTGCATATGGCTATCCAGTTATCCTGGCATCGTTTATTGAATAGGGAGAATCTTTTCCCCCTTGCTTGTTTTTGTTAAGTTTGCCAAAGATCAGATAGTTGTAGAAGCTTGGTTTTGTTTCTGGATTCTCTATTCTGTTCCATTAGTCTATGTGTTTGTTTTTGTACCAGTACTATGCCGTTGTTTCCTGTAGCCCTGTAATGCAGTTTGAAGTCTGGTAGCATGTCGCTTCCAGCTTTGCTCTTCTTGCTTAGGATTGCCTTGGCTGTTTTTGGTTCCACATAAATTTTTCAAAAGCTGGTTTTCTGAAAAAAATAATAAAACTCAACCTACTTCTTAACATTTTTCAAGAACCCAAATGAAATCATGACTGCTCTTGGAGATGGCACTCTGTATGTTTCAATTTACTACCCAGTAACTGGTCTATTAAAATCATACTGGTTAAAAAATAATAAACTTGAAGCTAGACCAATGAAGGAGAAAGGGAAGAGATTCAAATAACCACCATCAAAAACAATAAGGGCAATATTACCACTGACCCCACAGAAATACAAACCACCCTCAGAGAATATTATGTACAACTGTAGGCACTATTTTTTCTTTAATTTTGAGATGAAGTTTTGTGCTTGTTGCTCAGGCTGGAGGGCAATGGTGAGATCTCGGCTTAGTGCAACCTCTGCCTCCTGAGTTCAAGCTATTCTCCTGCCTCAGCTTCCTGAGTAGCTGGGATGACATGCATGTGCCACCATGTCTGGTTAATTGTGTATTTTTAGTAGACATGGGGTTTCTCCATGTTGATCCAGCTGGTCTTGAACTCCCAATCTCAGGTGATCAACCCACCTTGACCTCCCAAAGTTCTGGGATTGCAGATGTGAGCCACTGAACCTGAAAAAATTGAGAAATCTAGAAGAAACTGATAAATTCCTGGTCACAACCACCCTCCCTGAGATGCAAGTTTGGTTTAACATATGCAAATTGATAAATGTCATCGTCACATAAACAGAACTAAAGAAAAAAATTACCCACATGATTATCTCAATGGATGCAAAAACAGCTTTTGATAAAATTCAACTTTCATGTGTGTTAAAAACTCTCAATAAACCAGGTATTGAAGGAACATACCTCAAAATAATAAGAGCCACATGTGACAAAACCACAGCCAGCATCATACTGAATGGACAAAAGCTGAAAGCATTCCCCTTAAAAATTGGCACAAGATAAAGATGCCCTCTCTCCCCACTCCCATTCAGCATAGCTTTGAGGGTGTTCTTTGCTCTTGGATTTCTAATTCTTTTAATTGTGATGTTGGGTAGTTAACTTGAGATCTCAATTTTGTTTTTGAGATGGAGTGTTGTTCTCTCAACCAGGCTGGAGTGCAGTGGTGTGATATGGGCTCACTGCAACATTTATCTCCTGGGTTCAAGCAGTTCTCCTGCCTCAGCCTCCTGAGTACCTGGGATTACAGGTATGTGCCACAACACCAGCTAATTTTTGTATTTTTAGTAGAATGGGGTTTCACCATGTTGGTCAGGCTGGTCTCAAACTCCTGACCTTGTAATCTGCCCGCCTTGGCCTCCAAAAGTGCTGAGATTACAAGAGTGAGTCACCGCAGCTGTCCCGAGTTCTCACTTCTTGATGTGAGCATTTAGTACTATAAATTTCTCTCCACACTACTTGACTAGCTGCATCCCAGAAACTCTGGTAAGTTGTACCTTTGTTCTCATTACTTTCAAAGAACTTCTTAAACTTCTTGATTTCTGCCTTAATGTCATTATTTACCCAGGAGTCATTCAGGAGCAAGTTACTCAGTTTCCATGTAAGTGTATGGTTTTGAATGAATTTCTTAGTCCTGATTTCAAATGTGATTGCATTTGCTTTGTGACCTAAGGTATCTTCTATACTTATGAATGATCTATGTGTTGAGTTGAAAAAATGTGTATTCTGCAGTCATTGGATGAAATGTTCCTTGAATATCAGTTCCATTTGGTCTGTAGTAAAGATTAAATTTCATGTTGATTGGTTGGTTTTCTGTCTGGAAGATCTGTCCAGTGCTGAAAGTTGGGTGTTGTAGTCTCCAGCAATTACTGTGTTAGGGTTTATCTCTCTCTTTCTTATTTGCTGCGTGTGTCTGTTCTTTTTTCTCTCTCTCTGTCTGTCTCTATTTCTATCTTTGGAATTCTGATCATTTTAGTGTTGAACCTGTTCAAATTTTCTTCCGGATTTCAACTTTTTTCTTATCGCTATTTCTGGAAGACATAAGGTTCATCTACTCAACTTTGTTGTCTTACTATTCTAACAAGAATTTTTCACAAGTTCTGCTGTCATATTTTTAATTTCTAAGCGTTTACTTTTTCTTTAAATTTGGTTCTTGTTTCATGAAAATGGTAACACTTTTATCTCTTCGAGAACATTCATATGGGTTTCAGAAGGTCTTATCTCCTAGCACAGTCCTCATTCAGGCTGCATTTATGTGTCTTCTTGCTCTGGTCTCGGCCATTCATGTTAGAAGCTTTGCTCAGATGCCTGGTGACCCTTAGCTGTCTGTGTCTGTTAGAAAAAAATGGAGCACTGAAAAGCTAAAAGCTGATGGAAGTTCTGTGATTGTAACATTTTGTGGGCGGTGGTCTTGCTGGGTCAGACCTTTTCTTCTTGAGCAAGAGAGATTCTCTCTAGAGAAAAATCATCTTAACTTCTGACCAAGTGTATCTGCCACCCTCATTGGAACTCAGTGGTAGGAAAACCTGGAGGATCTCAGTGTTCAGTGTGTACATTTAAGCACTTGTGTCTAGAGAGCTCCTGCCTAGAGACACCAAATTTTACCCTATAGAGAGGAAACCTCCACCCTGCCACCACCGTGGGATGCAGTCACCGATTCTAGGGAGAGGATCTGGGATCTACCTACTACTGAAACATAAATTCCCTAGGTAAATTTAGCTGCCAACTCTTGAACCCTTGGGGATCCTGGTTGCCTTCCTGCCACTGGCTTGGGATTTAGCATCTCTGGGTCTACTGTCAGGTGTCACTGACAGCTTCTGCTTGCCAGTTTTCTATATGCTGAAGGGATTGTCTTTATTTTCTTTTTATCTTTGTTGGTTTATTTATTTTTAATCATCCCGTGTTAATGTGGTTTAATGATGGAGTGAAGGCATATGCAGGTATTCAACCAAACATCTTAGCTGAAGTCTGTGTATTTCTCTTGTAGTAAAATCTTGATCATTCTATGTTTCAGTTAATCAAATTTTTATATATGCATTCTGATTTGGGGATGATGTGAGGGAAGAGAGAGAGAAAGAAAGAGAGACTCAGACGGACAGAGACAGGGTGAGAGAGAGAGGCTACTGTGACAAATCTGTGGGTCTGTGTATTTGGAAGTCAATAGGAATTTAGCCCTGTTTTCTGTCTAAAAAGCAGGAGTGTCCAGACAATGGATCTGGAACTAGGCTAAGAATCTTTGAGGCAATGGCGCAGATCCAGTTGTGTTCAATTTTTAGTCCTTAGGCTGAAAGGGAAAATAACGTAAAACACATTTTAAAAAATTTCTGGCTGGGCGCGGTGGCTCAAGCCTGTAATCCCAGCACTTTGGGAGGCCGAGGTGGGTGGATCACAAGATCAAGAGATCGAGACCATCCTGGTCAACATTGTGAAACCCTGTCTCTGCTAAAAATACAAAAAATTAGCTGGGCATGGTGGTGCGTGCCTGTAATCCCAGCTACTCGGGAGGCTGAGGAAGGAGAATTGCCTGAACCCAAAAGGCGGAGGCTGCGGTGAGCCGAGATTGTGCCATTGCACTCCAGCTTGGGCAACAAGAGCGAAACTTCATTTCTAAAAAAAAAAAAAAATTTCTGAAAGTGGTGTTTTCTGATTTGCCCTCAGATAATTAGATATAGAAGGTAGCCATACATTTTTGGCTAACTCAGCATTCGTTGCTCCATTCAGCGAATTCATCTTTATATTCATGTTCTTTCTCTCCAGCTTAATATCCAAAATTTAAAAGTGAGGAATGCAGAATAGTTGAACTAAAAGAAACAGATCAACCACAACCTGCCTCTTCTTCCTCTCACCCAAAGAAAACCATTGTTAACATTTTGCTATATTCTCTTTATGTACTTTTCTCAGGTACTTTTATTCGAATATATTTTTGATCATAAAATTGTCTTAGACAATAAGTTGTCAGAGAAGAACACCCACTCTTTTTACACTCCAGGCTTCCAGCTTGAAGGTGACTGACTTGGGAATCCTGTATTTTAACAAGATATGATGTTGATATGGAATCTTTTATTTGACTGTTCTGAGGTGTTCTCTTTTTAGCATACTCTCCTTCATCCCCTTCTTCCCTGCTATACACACACATACACATTCACACATACACGCATTCTTTCTTTCTCTCTCACATGCACATTCTCATACGCAAATACAAGCATGCTCATACACATGTGCACACACACAGGCACGTGCATGCACACACTCACACTCATATGAACCAACATGCACATACACACTCTCCTTCATCTCTTTCCTCCCTGCTACACACACATACTCTAACACTCATATGCACATGTGCACACACACATATGTACAACATGCAATGTGTCAGAAGGCCATGTAGAAAATGATTGTTACTCTCCAAAAGGAAGGACACCCACACTTTTGCAATGGAAAAAAACAGCTCTGTTTTTGTAAAAAAAAAAAAAAAGAATTTTCTATTAGGCCTAGAAAGAAACTTAAAAAGTGTTTCTTCTTTTATCTAATCGGAACTTGTGTATGTGCACACACCCGTGTGACAGAAAGAGCCAGGGAGAGAGGGAGGGAGAGGAGGTGAAGGCAAGAAGAGAGAGAGCGATTAAAAAGCAAGTGCACTGTGGCAAGCTCGTCTGGACTAAGTGAGAAGCAGGCGGTTGTGGTGATGAGATAGGAGCTTGGAATGCTTCCTGGTACCAAGACTGTCATAAGTGGAATTGGGGTCTGAAAAAGTGACAGCAAAATTCAGCGTTCCTTTGACAACCACTCAGAAAATAGAATGTGAGGAAGCAGGAGGAAGGGAAGGTGTGGGGCCAGCCATGAGAATGCACCCCGCTGCTCCACGGATGCCTAGAAATGCTGGTCACTTATAGGGCACAGGTGAGGGGAAGTCTGGACTGGTGGCAGTAGTGCTGCCAAGCCATGTAGCCTGCTCTCTCAAGGGTGAATGTTCTTGCATAAGTAGTGGGGAAGATTATTCCCTAGTTTATATAGGCCCCATTTGTCCTAGACACAGATTTTAATGTTCTCAGGTGATCGCTTGCTTGATTGTCTGTGTAAAAGATCAGCAATCCTTTTTTTTTTTTCTGGAAAGGTCTAGGCAGTAAATATTTTAGGCTTGGCAGCCCATATGGTCTCTGTCACAGCTACTTATCTCTGTGGTTGTGGTGTGAAAGCAGCCATAGAAATGGGTAATAAAGGAGTGGGGCTGAGTTCCAAAGTACTTTTATGAGAACTGAAAATTGCATTTTATATAATTGTTGACATGTCCCAAAATATTGTTACTTTTTTGAATTCTTTCACATTCGTGGCTCATGAGCTGTCTGACAAGAGACGACAGGCAGGAATTGGTGGATGGGCCATGGTTGCCCAAACCCTGTGTCCAAATCATGGCATTGTACAAGCAGGAGGGATCTCTGACCCTCTCTTTTTTTCCTCTTTCCTTCTTTTCAGTTTCTCATTGTGCTGATTTGGAAACCAGAAATCGAAAGCTCTGGGAAGTGAACTCTTTCTGACTTAACCTGTTAGTGGCAGTGTTAGGATAAAATGTCAGGTCTCAAGGAGCACTTCTTAGAGCCCAGATCAGACTGAATGCTGCTTTTGTGATTGCAGAAGGCATACCATCCTCTGGTACACTAGCTCCTTAGCGTCACCCTGAATCTGAAACTTAGTTCTTCATAAAGTCTTTTGTTCTATGATTCCTCAGTGCATCATTTGCTAATTTGCGCCAGTTATTCTGTTTAACACAACTGAGATATAGACATAAGCAAAGTTCCTACCCTTTAGGAACTCACTTCTTCAGGGCCTGGTTTTGATAATCCAGACAAAGCTACTTAAATGTAGTTTTATCCTTAAAAGCAAAATCGGCTGCACTTATGTAAGTTACAATAATAATTAGAATTTAGGAAAAATCCATTCTTAAAACAAGAAGGCAAAGAGAATAAAAAATAAACATCCAAGTCACCCTCTGACTGTGCGTTGGTTTTAAAACAACAAGACTATTATTTTAAGTGAACACAAGGAAAATTTTGCTACCAAGCGAGTACAATTTCTAACAGGTGATACATCGACTCCTCTGATTCCAGACATTTCCGAAAGTGCCCTTACTACCTACATTACTTCCTTCTGTAAAGCTCTACTGATTAAGACTTTATCTTTTGTGGTTGGATTTTTGCTTTTGGAATTACAACCTGCTTTTCAAGTCACATTTTGTAAATTAGTTGAGGTATCTTGCTGAGTGATAAAGTCTGAGTCAAAAACTTCCTGAAAAGTGCCTCGTGAACTCGTGAGGCATCATGGCAAAGATCCCAATTGTTGGACTGAGGCAGAGAGGTAGAAAGAAGAACACAGACTTTAAGGTCTGACAGATGTAAGTATAGGTCCCACCTCCACCACGTATTAGATGTGTAATGTTAAATGAGCTACTATACCTCTTTGAGCCTCAGCTTTCCTCTCTGTAAAAAGAAGATGTTAAACCTTTCCTTGCACTATTGTTGTAGGGATTAGAGATGATGTCAATAAAAATGTTTCCAGCATGCTCGGTATTCAACGTACCTTGGATAGACTTATTTGGCCAGTTCACTGCAAAGGGTAATATACACGAGTAAGATTTTTTCTTTTCTTCAAAATAGACTTTTTGGGATTAAACTCTAAAATGTGTTAAATAAATGAATCAAGATATTTTTCATTTCTGTTGTTGAAGTATTTGCCTTCTTACGTTTGGTAATGTTAGGATTTTCCACAGAAGAAGTTGACACTTTCCTTCTTAATCATACTGGCAATACCATGTTTCAACACTAGTTACTATTTTCTTTTCGAAAAGTGTCATTTGTCTAGCTTCCCTTGAAAGATCAGCTAAATGTCACATTATCCCTGCTTCTGCTAATCTTTCAAAATGCTCACCACCATAGTCATAACATTTTCTTCATGCTCAAGTTGATTTAAAAAATGTTCTAAAGACAGTGTTGCTGAATTTTTATTTGTTTAATAAAAATTAGGCTTTTAAATATAAAAATATAGATTTATTATAAAGCCTCTAGAAAGCAAAGAAAAATAGATTTGAAAAATACCTTGTTTAATCACATAAAGCTAGGCAGAGTTAAATCACTGTTTCCATTTTGGTACATTTTATTTTAATCTTTTCACTATTTTAATGTCCTTCTTTATATCCATAATGGTGATAACATGATGTATATATGAACATGTATATATTATATAAATATATAAAATACATAAATATATCTTTTAAAAATGGTATCTGTAGGCCGGGCGCGGTGGCTCAAGCCTGTAATCCCAGCACTTTGGGAGGCCGAGGCGGGTGGATCACGAGGTCAAGAGATCGAGACCATCCTGGTCAACATGGTGAAACCCCGTCTCTACTAAAAATACAAAAAATTAGCTGGGCTTGGTGGCGCGTGCCTGTAATCCCAGCTACTCAGGAGGCTGAGGCAGGAGAATTGCCTGAACCCAGGAGGTGGAGGTTGCGGTGAGCCAAGATCGCGCCATTGCACTCCAGCCTGGGAAACAAGAGCGAAACTCCGTCTCAAAAAATAAATAAATAAAAAATAAAAACGGTATCTGTTTATTTATTATATATAAATATATATCTAATGACTATATATCTACATATCTACTTCTATATTTATATATCTCCATGATAGAAGTTGGAAAATACTGAAAACTGTAGAGGAGTTCGGAGAAACAACCTATAATCTCATTATACAGAAATAATTTTCTTCCCTTTTGCTTCTCCACATTTTGGCTTAGATCAAATTTAGAAATGATTTTCTTAACGTTTTTGGTATTGTGTTTTTAGAGTATCAAGATGTTGCTGCATATTCTGATTTTTATGTATAGTTGTGACAGGAACACCCACAAAAATAATTGTTCTAGAAAAGAATTTGTTAACAAATATTTTCTTCCAGGAAGTGGTGTATTAGCGTTTTAAAAGAAACATTTCTGGACGTCAAAGTAGACATTGGGCTTATATCAACAGCTCAATCTTTTTTAAAATACGCTTTATTTTTAGAGCAGTGTAAAGTTAATAGTGAGGCATAGTGGAAAGTACAGAGAGTTCCTACATTCCCACCTCCCCAAATGCACAGCCTCCTCCACTATCAGCCTTCCTCACTAGAGAGGTACATTTGTTACAATGGATGAACCAACATTGACTTATCACTGTCACCCATAGTTTATAATTGACATTAGGGACCATTCTTGCTGTCGTATATTCAGTGAGTTTTGACAAGGGTGTAATGGCATGTGTCTACCATTATAGTAACACACAGAGTAGTTTCATTGCCCTAAACATCCTCTATGCTCTGCCCATTTATCCTTCCCCACTTTTCAACCCCCAGCAATCACTGAACGTTTTGATGTCTCTATAGTTTTGCCTTTTCCAGAATGTCATATAGTTGGATTCATATAGTAAGTGGTCATTTGAGATTGGTTTCTTTCACTTAGTAGTATGTATTTGAGTTTCCTCTATGTCTTTTAATGGCTTCATAGCTCACGTGCTTTTTTTCTGCAACAAAAGCCACATTCAAAGATTATTGCTTTCATTGCTGAATAATATTCCACTGTGTCGATGTAGAGGTTTGTTTATCCAGGCACTTACGAGTCTATAGTAACCAGTGTGGAGCCTGGGGAAGCCATAAATGGCCTGGTTGTGGCGAAGGCCTGGAGCCTATGTCGATAGGAGCCATGGAGGTTGGAGGCATTAGATCTTAGAGCCATAGGGGAAGGCCTGGAGCTTGGGTTGACAGGGTCTGTCCCATAGCCTGTGGCTATAGAAACCTGCCTGGTGTTGAGTTCACTGAATTGTGCCTGGCATTGGAGTTGATGTTGAAGTCAGGTGTTACATTTACTCTCCTCTCTGCACATACATAGTATCTCTTTCCATGCTGCACTACCCAGGTTTAGGGGCGGGGTAATGCAGATAATAGAAAACTCTCTTTTATACTCTATTTTATGCCGTTTTTCTTACTTTTCTACTCCACAAACGTGCTATAACCTCTCACCTGGATTCCTTGTCTCTTTTGAAGACACTTTGATGCACGGATGGCTGTTCAAATTGATGTTTCTGTGAAGGAATAAGTGCTGAAAAGTTCTGTTTTGCCATTTTGTCCATGGCATTCTTCTCTGTTAACTGAAAAAATATTTTTACTGAATAACATATTGTTAACAATTGTCAGACCCTTGGTTTAGCTCTGGAAGTTTCTCCTTTAGAGCAAGTTCCTTTCATAGTTCTCTATAGAAAGACTATAGTTGTAAAATGTTGGTAGAGATGATATTTTGTGTGTAGAATTAAGGACCGATTACACATAAATGTTTAGCGGACAGTAAACATTTGTGAGTAATCTGTTCTTACACACAAAAAGAAGGTCTATAGCTTTAGGAAAGGGAAAATTATCAAGGTTATTCAGACAATATAAAATGAGTTGAGAAAATTGAAGGGAATGTTTATACTTGAATGAGACCTCATGGAGAAAGACAAAATAAGGAAGCCATGGGAGAATATTTGCATTCTCGGAACCACAAAAGTGAGGAAAGCCAAGAGCACAGCTGGAGTTGCACCAGATCAAGTAGACATTCCATCAGAGCCTGAACTGAGAATGCACCATTCCTAGTCACCTTGATAACAGCCCCATTTTCTGTTAATAATACTCTATGAGAAAAATCTTGCAAAAATAGTCAGAAAAGGCAGAGTCACATGCGGTTCAGTGTGTTCCACCTTGGCAGACGGTCTTAGGAGGAGTTTTGGAAGGATCGTGCTGCAGGCAATGGATGAGATAATGATGAGAAATTTTCCAGCTCTGTATAAAAAGGCAAGCGAAATATATGCTTGTGAATTTTTGGCTGCTTTTTTATGCTGTATTTTCAGATCAATTTTATCCCAGTTAATGTGAATATAAACTCTGATTGTTATGGCTATCTCTCGTGGGGTGTCTATTATTTTGTCAGAAATTGTATCAGGAACTTTATATCAATCACTAAATTACACATTTCCAAGCTGCATATGAATTAGGTATTACTATGATCATTTTACAGATGAAGAAGATGAGACTCAGAGCAATACATAAGTTGCCCAAGGTCAGAGAGCAAGTAAGTACCAGAAATAAAAGCCAGATAAATCTCATTCCCATATCCTTGCTCTTTCAATGATGTTTCAGAGTTGATTACAAAAAGAATTGTTCTGTGTGCTCAGGATAATTTACTACCTACTAAATTTAACCATAGGGCAGTCTTATAAACAGGGTAGAGTATGCAGTTAAGATAAAATTTGAGAGGAAAAAATTAAATTAAAATAGTACATAACCAATGATCAGAATATTCTCTCAGTATTTTAGAAATTTATGTAAGAATAAACTAGATACTGATAAAAAAGTCACATTCTTTATGCACAAATCTTGTAAGTAGCTACTGTTAAAGAGAGGATATTATTTACCTAGAAGAAAGTGGGGTTGTCAACCACTATATAACCATTCGTGGGGTGAATGTCTTTTTTATTTTAGGCCTCTGGCTGATGGATCCAAGAGGTAGATACGTGATGTCAAAATATTCTCTTTTATAGGTAATTACAATTTACAATGGAAGATACAGAGGCCACAAGGTAGTAGAGTTGAGTTATATTAACAGAAAACCTTGTTAGAGAAAAGAACCACCTCTCACTATCATGTTCAATGGCAAAGATTAATAGAAGGTACAGCAAAATGGACACACATGCGAGTATACCCACATTGATATTGGAAGTAACTTTTTTCTTATATACTATAAATCATATCCCAGAATATACTCATAATGTGTACACTTATTGGGATATTACAATCAACGTACAAAATATGTACCATATGTACATTGACTGTGATGTACATATGTGTACACAATACAGATGTACAAAAAATGTACATAATCTGTACAATATGTACATTTATATGTACATAATGTGTACACAGTAGGTATGTACATAATGTGTACAATATGTAAATATATTGTAATATTACAATGATTTCATATAATCACAACAGCATATATAATCACAATACACATATACATAATATCAATATAAATGTACATATTGCACACATTATATACATTTACATTTATTGTGATATTACGATATGTACACATGTACATCATGCACACGTGCAGATTTGCGGTATATACACGTGTACATAAGTGTGCACAGTATGTACATATGTACACTACACATATGTTCATATAATGTAGATATGTACCTTCTGTACAGGAGTACACAGTATGTACAATATGTACACGTATATACTAGGTACACATATAGGTGTATACCCACTTTGGTAACCGGAGAGATTTCTATCTAATATACTAAATATAAAATCCCAGAATGTAGTCATAGTGTGTACATTTATTGTCGTATTGTGATAAATGTATTAAATAGGCACAATCTGTACATGTACTCTGCTGTACATAGGTGTACACAATGCACATGTACAAAAAATGTACATAATCTGTAAAATATGTACCTATATATTTCTATAATGTGTACACAATGCATAGGTACATAATGTGTACACTATGCACATTCCTTAAAATATCAGTGATAAAATATATATAATCACAGTAAGATATATAATCACACTAATACATATATGTCGTGTAATATCACCAAAAAGTACGTATTGTACACATTAGGTATGTATTAGGTACATATGTATAGTGCACATATTATGAAAATATATATGTATCATGATAACACCGTATGTACACGTATACAAATATGTGCCTACTATTTAAACAATGTACACATGCAGAAATAGGTGCAAACTACATACCTATGCACAGCAGGCTATTACTACAGTTCTGCTCGTAGCAGCCTCAATGCCCACCCTGGCTGCTTAAAGACCCCCTGGCTAGGGGGCTGTACCCACAGCCCCCGCCAGAGGGCCCATAACAGCTACCAGGCCCACGCTGGCTGCTTAGGGACCCCCTGCCTAGGGCGCTGTGCCCACAGCTGCTGGGGCCCGGCTATTTTGAAAATGTGGTGTAATATGATACTGGCAACCATATCACACAGAAATGATAATGTTATTGTGGTTCTTTACATATTAGGCAATAGTTCTAGTTACACATTTGGCATATTGACAAAAATGTCATCCTCACCCCATTGACATTAGAATTGAAAGCATAGGAGGGTTTCACCCCTTGCAATGTTTAATTCAATATAATTGTTTTCTTGTTTACATTAGTGACCATATCAGAGCACGGTGTACATCTCTTGCAGTATTCAGAATATTTCTCTATGGGCAGCAACATTTTTCTCTCCTTATCTGGATATTAGGAAGAATATCACAGGACCGGCTTACAGCGCCAGTCACATCGTGAGCAATGTCATCTGTAATCCCCTAGTTATTAAGAACAATGTAACGGGGGTCTTGTGTGCTTTTGGAGATATTTGGAGTAATATCCTTTTAGTTTCTGGATATTAGAAACAATACTACAGTGGTGGTGTACACTTCCTGCGATATTAAGAGTATACTCATCCTCTGTCCCTGGGATATTAGGAACTACATCGCAGAAGCGTTGCACTTTGCCTATAATATTGGAACAATCACAGAGTGTACACCTTCTTTCATTGTGAGAGAAATACCTACTTAGGATATGATGGATAATATCACAAAATGGACACACATGGGTATATACCCACTGTGATATTGGAAGTCATTTTTATCTAATATACTAAAAGTCATAACCCAGAAAAAACTCATAATGTGTACACTTATTGGGATATTACACTCAATGTACAGAATATGTAACATATGTACATTGACTGTGATGTACATACATGTACACAATACAGATGTACAATAAATGTACATAAACTGTATCATTTGTACGAATATATGTACAAAATGTGCACACAATAGGTATGCACATAATGTGTACAATATGTACATTTATTGTAATATCACAATGTTATATAATCACAACTGCATATAAAATCACAATACACATGTAATATGTAATATCAATATAAATGTACATATTGCAAACATGTACATTTACATTTATTGTGATATGATATGTAAACATGTACATCATGTACCTATTATGTACAGATGCACAATATATGCAAGTGTACATATGTGGGTACAGTATGTACATATGTACACTACACATGTGTACATATAATGTAGATATGTACCTTCTGTACCCGAGTACATTCTATGCACAATATGTACACATATAAACTATGTACACACCTGGGTGTACAACCACTTTGGTAACCGGAGAAATTTCTATCTAATATACAAAATATAATAATTCAGAATGTAGTAATAGTGTGTACATTTATTGGCATATTGCAATAAATGTATAAAATAGGTACAATCTGTACATTTACCCTGCTGTACATATGTGTACACAATGCACATGTACAAAAAATGTACATACTCTGTAAAATATGTACCTACATATTTCTATAATGTGTAAACAATGTATAGGTACATAATGTGTACACTATGCACATTCCTTAAAATATCAGTGATAAAATATATATAATCAAAATAACGCATATAATCACAGTAATATATATATATCATGTAATATCACAAAAAAGTACATATTGTACACAGTAGGTACGCATTAGGTCTATATGTATTGTGCACATATGTACATATATATTTATCATAACACCATGTGTACACTTATACAAATATGTGTTCATTATTAAAACTATGTACCTGTGCAGAACAGGCTATTACCACAGCCCCCCTCGTAGCAGCCCCAAGGCCCACCCTGGCTGCTTAAAGACCCCCTGGCTAGGGAGCTGTAACCACATTCCCCGCCAGAGGGCCCGTAACAGCTCCCAGGCTGACGCTGGCTGCTTAGGGACCCCCTGGCTAGGGCGCTGTGCCCGGCTATTTTGAAAATGTGGTGTAATATGATGCTGGCGACCATATCATATGGAAATGATGTTATTCTGGTTTTTGATATACTAGGCAATAGTTCTAGTTACACCTCTGCCATATTGACAAAAATGTCATCCTCACACCCCTGGACATTAGAATTGAAATCATAAGGGGGTTTCACCCCTTGCAATGTTAAATTCAATATAATTGTTTTCTTGTTTACATTAGTGACCATATCAGAGCACAGTGTACTCCTCTTGCCGTATTCAGAGGATTTGCCTATGGGCAGCAACATTATTCTCTCGTTCTCTGGATATTAGGAACAATATCACAGGACCGGCGGACAGCCCCAGTCATATCGTGAGTAATGTCATCTGTAATCCCTTAGTTATTAGAAAAAATATCACGGGGGTCTTGTGTGCTTTATCAGATACTTGGAGTAATATCTTTTCCGTTTTTGGATATTAGACACGATACTACAGTGGTGGTGTACACTTCCTGCGATATTCAGGGTATAATAATCTTTTGTCCCCAGGATATTAGGTAGTACATTAAAGAAGCCTTGTACTTTGCCTGTGATATTGGAACAATCACAGAGTGAACACTTGCTTTCAAAATGAGAGTAATACCTACTTAAAATATGATGGATAATATCAAAAAATGGACACACATGGGTGTATACCCACTTTGATATAGAAAGAAATTTTTATCTAATATACTAAAAATCATATATCACAATATACTCATAATGTGTACACTTATTGAGATGTTACAATCAATGTGCAGAATACATACCATATGTACATAGAGTGTTATGTACATATGTGTACACAATACAGATGTACCAAAAACGTACATAATCTGTACAATATGTGCAATTACAGGTACATAATGTGTACACAATAGGTATGTACGAAATGTGTGCAATATGTACATTTATTGTAATATTACAATGATATCATATAATCACAACAGCATATAAAATCACAATACACAAGTAATACATAATATAAATGTACATATTGCACACATCGTGTACATTTACATTTATTGTGGTATCACGGTGTGTACACATGCACATCATGTACCCATTATGTACACATGTACAAAATATGCACATGTACATATGTGTGAACAGTATGTACATTTGCACACTATGTACACATAAATACATATAATGTTGACATGTACATTTTGTACATGAGTACCTAATATGCACAATATGTACACGTATAAACTATGTACACACCTGGGTGTACACCCACTTTGGTCAATGGAGTAATTTCTAATATGGTAAAAATTATATTTTAGAATGTACTCATAATGTGTACATTTATTGGCATATCACAAGAAATGTATAAAATAGGTACAGTCTGTACATTTACTCTGCTGTGCATAGGTGTACACAATACACATGTAGAAAAAGTGTACATAATCTGTAAAATATGTACCTATATATTTCTATATTGTGTACACAATACATAGGTATATAATGTGTACACTATGCACATTCCTTAAAATATTAGTGATAAAATATATTTAATCACAATAAGATATATAATCACAGTAATATATATTGTCTAATATTACAAAAAAGTACATATTGTACACATTAGGTATGCATTAGGTACATATGTATTTTGCACATATTATGTAAATATAAATTTATCGTGATAACACCATATGTACGCATGTACATATATATGCCCGATATTAAAACTATTTACACATGTAGTAATAGGTGCAAACTATGTACCGATGCACAGCACGCTATTACCAAAGCCCCCCTTATAGCAGCCCCCAGGCCCAGCCTGGCTGCTTAGAGACCCCCTGGCAATTGGGCTGTGCCCACAAACACTGCTCGAATGCCTGTAGCAGCCCCCATGCCCACCCTGGCTGCTTAGGGACCCCCTGACTAGGTGTCTGTGCCCACAGCCCATGCCAGAGTGCCCGTAGCGGCCCCCAGGCCAACCATGGCTGCTCAGGGACCCCTGGCTGGGTCGATGTGCTCACAGACCCCACCAAAAAGCCCAGAGCAGCCCCCAGGCCCACCCTGGCTGCTTAGGGGTCCCCTCGCTTGTGGGCTCTGCCCACAGCTGCTGAGGCCCAGCTATTTTGCAAATCAGGTGTAATATGATACTGGCAACCATATTATATAAAAATGATAATCTTATTCTGTTTTTTTGTATATTAGGCAATAGCTCCAGTTACACCTCTGCCATATTGACAAAAATGTCATCCTCACCCCCATTGACATTAGAATGAAAATCATAGGGGAGTTTCATTCCTTGCAATGCTTAATTCAATGTAATTGTTTTCTTGCTTACATTAGTGACCATATCAAAGCATGGTGTACACCTCTTGCCGTATTAAGAGTATTTCCCTATGGGCAGCAACATTTTCCTCTCCTTCTCTGGATATTAGGAACAATATTCCAGGACCAGAGTACAGCCCCAGTCACGTCGTGGGTAATGTCATCTGTAATTCTCTAGTTATTAGAAACAATATCACGGGGGGCTTGTGTGCTTTCTGAGATATTTGGAGTAATATCCTTTCCGTTTTTGAACATTAGAAACAATACTACAGTGGTGGTGTACACTTCCTGCGATATTCAGGGTATGGTCATCCTTTGTCCTCAGGATATTATTAACTACATCACAGACGAGTTTTAGTTTGCCTTGATATTGGAGCAATCCGAGAGTGTAAACCTGCTTTCACAATGAGAGAAATACCTACTCAGGATATGATGGATAATATCACAAAATGGACACACATAAGTGTATACCCACTTTGATATTGAAAGTAATTTTTATCTAACATACTAAAAATCATATCCCAGAATATACTTATAATGTGTACTCTTACTGAAATATTACAAACAATGCACAGAATATGTACCATATGTACGTTGACTGTGATGTACATATGTGTGCACCATACAGATGTACAATAAATATACATAATCTGTACAATATGTACATTTATGTGTACATAATATGTACACAATAGGTATGTCCATAATGTGTACAATATGTACATTTGTAATATCACAATGATATCAGAACAGCATATACAATCACAATACACATGTAATACATAATATAAATGTACGTATTTCACACATTATGTACATTTCCATTTATTGTGGTATGACGATGTGTTTACATGTACAGCATGGACCCATTATGTACGGATGTACAATAAATTCAGGTGTAGATATATGTACATAGTATGTACATATGTACGCTCTGTACCCATACATACATATAATGTAGATATTTACCTTCTGTACACAAGTACATAATATGCACAGTATGTACATGTACAAAGTATGTGCACACATAAGTTTACACCCACTTTGGTAACCAGAGTAATTTCTATCTTATATTCTAAATGTAATATCACAGAATGTACTCATAATGTGTACATTTATTGGCATATCACAATAAATGTATAAAGTAAGATCTGTACATTTACTCTGTGTACCCAATACACAAGTAAATAAAATGTACATAACCTGTAAAATATGTTTCTTTCTATTTCTATAATCTGTGCACAATGCATAGGTACATAATGTGTATAATATGTACATTTGTAATGTCACAATGATATCATATCACAACAGCATATATAATCACAATAAACGTAATACATAATATAAACGTACATATTGCAAACATTATGTATATTTACATTTATTGTGATATGATGTGTACACATGTACATCATGTACCCATTATGTACAGATGTACAATATATGCACGTGTACGTATGTGTGCACAGTATGTACATATGTATGCTGCGTACACCTATGTATATATAATGTAGACATGTACATTCTGTACATGAGTACATAATATGCACAACATGTACATGTATAAACTATGTGCGCACCTGGGTGTAAACCCACTTTGGTCACCGGTGTAATTCCTATCTAATATGCTAAAAATTATATCCCAGAATGTACTCATGTGTACATTTATTGACATATCACAATAAATGTATAAAATAGGTATAGTCTGTACATTTACTCTGCTGTACATATGTGTACAAAATACACATGTAGAAAAAATGTACATCATCTGTAAAATATGTACCTATTTATTTCTATAATGTGTACACAATGCATAGGTACATGAAGTGTACTCTATGTACATTTCTAAAAATTTCAGTGGTAACATACATATTATCACAATAAGATATATAATCAATAATATGTAGATATCACATAATATCACCAAAAAGTACATATTGTTTATATTAGGTACGTATAAAGTACATATTTATTGTACACATATTATGTACATATATGTTTATTGTGATAATAACATATGTACATGTGTACAAATATGTGCCCATTATGTAAACGATCTACACATGTAGAAATAGGTGCAAACTGTGTACCTGTGAAGAGCAGGGTATCCCCACACCTCCCGCCAAAGGGCCTATAGCAGCTTCCAGCTCCACCCTGGCTACGTAGGGACCCCCTGGTTAGGTGGCTGTGCCCATAGCCCCTGCCAGAGTGTCAGTAGCAGCCGCCAGGCCCTCCCTGGATGCTGAGAGACCCTCTGGCTATGTGGCTGTTACCACAGCCACCGCCAGAGGGCCCGTAGCAGCCCCCAGACAAACCACAAAGGGCCCGTAGCAGCTGCAATGCCCAACCTGGTTGCATAGGGACACCCTCGCTTGGCTGCCATGCCCACAGCTGCTGGGGCCCAGATATTTTGAAAATGTGGTGTAATATGATACTGGCAATCATATCATATGTAAATAATAATTTTATCCTTTTTTATTATATAGTAGGCAATAGCTGTAGTTACACCTCCGCCATTTTGACAAAAATGTCCTCCTCACCCCCTTGAAATGAGAAGAAAAATTATAGGGGGGGTTAACACCTTGCAAGATTTAATTCAATATAATTGCTTTCTTGTTTACATTAGTGACCATATCACAGCACGGTGTACTCCTCTTGCCGTATTCAGAGGATTTGCCTATGGGCAGAAACATTCTCCTCTCCTTATCTGGATATTAGAAACATTATCACAGGACCGGCAAACAGCCGCAGTCATATCGTGAGTAATGTCATCTGTAATCCCCTAGTTATAAAAAACAACATCACGGGGGTCTTGTGCACTTTATGAGATACTGAGAGTAATGTTAGGATTTGGGTATTTTACATGAGAGAGCATATTGAGTTTGTGTATATACTGCAAAACAGAGTAAAAAAGGGCATTGTATATTTTTTCTGACAGAATATATTCAGAGGAATTTTGCTTTTAACATTGGGGAGCCTAGATAATACTTAGATTTTTTTCGATTCACATAAATTTACAATTTCGGTATTTTACATGAGAGAGCATATTGAGTTGGTGTATACACTCCAAAACAAAGTAGAAAAAAGCATTGTATATTTTTTCTGACAGATTATATTGAAAGACATTTTGCTATTAACATTGGGGTGCCTAGATAATATTTAGATTTCATTCGATTAGCGTAAATTTATAATTTCGGTATTTTACATGAGAGAGCATATTGAGTTGGTATATATACTCCAAAACAGAGTAGAAAAGAGCATTGTATATTTATTCTGACAGATTATATTCAGAGAAATTTTGCTTTAAACATTGGATGACTAGAAAATATTTAGATTTATTTCGGTTCGTGTAAGATTAGAATTTTGGTATTTCACAAGAGAGAGCATATTCAGTTGGTGTATATACTCCAAAACAGAGTAGAAAAAGCATTGTATATTTTCTCTGACAGATTATATTCAGAGAAATTTGCATTTTACAATTGGGGTGCCTAGATATATATTAGATTTTTTTCGATTCACATAAATCTAGAATTTCGGTATTTTACATGAGAGAGCATATTGAGCTTGTGTATATACTCCAAAACAGAGTAGAAATGGGCATTGTATATATGTTCTGACAGATTACAGTCACAGAAATTTTGCTATTTACATTGGGGTGCCTAGATAATATTTAGATTTTTTTGATTCCCGTAAAATTAGAATTTCGGTATTGTACATGAGAGAGCATATTGAGTTGGTGTATACTCCAAAACAGGTAGAAAAGGGCATTGTATATTTTTCTGACAGATTATATTCAGAGCAATTTTGCTTTTAACATTGGGGTGCCTAGATAATATTTAGATTTTCTTCGATTCCCGTCAGCTTAGAATTTCGGTATTTTACATAAGAGAGCATAATGAGTTGGTGTATATACTCCAAAACAAAGTAGAAAAGGGCATTGTATACTTTTTCTGACAGATTATATTCAGAGCCATTTTCTTTTAACATTGGGGTGCCTAGATAATATTTAGATTATTTTCGATTCGCGTAAAATTAGAATTTCGGTATTTACATGAGAGAGCATATTGAGTTGGTGTATATACTCCAAAACAGAGTAGAAAAGGGCATTGTATATTTTTTCTGACAGATTATATTCACAGGAATTTTGCTTTTAACATTGGGGTGTCTAGATAATATTTAGATTTTTTTTCCTTTCGGGTAAAATTAGAATATCCGTATTTAACATGAGAGAGCATATTGAGTTGGAGGATATACTCCAAAACAGAGTAGAAAAGGGCATTGTATATTTTTCTGACAGATTATATTCAGAGCAATTTGCTTTTTAACTTTGGGTGCCTAGATATATTTTAGATTTTTTCGATTCAAGTAAATTTAGAATTTCTGTATTTTACATGAGAGAGCATACTGAGTTGGTGTATATACTCCAAAACAGAGTAGAATAAGGCATTGTATATTTTGTCTAACAGACTATATTCAGAGCCATTTTCTTTTAACTTTGGGGTGCCTAGATATTATTTAGAATTTTTTCGATTCGCGTAAAATTAGAATTTCGGTATTTTACATGAAGAGCATATTGAGTTGGTGTATATACTTCCAAAACAGAGTAGAAAAGGGCATTGTATATTTTTTCCGTAGATTATATTCAGAGCAATTTTGCTTTCAACATTGGGGTGCCTAGATAATATTTAGATTTATTTCGACTCGCGTAAAATTAGAATTTCTGTATTTTACATGAGAGAGCATATTGAGTTGGTGTATATACTCCAAAACAGAGTAGAAAAGGGCATTGTGTATTTTCTCTGACAGATTATATTCAGAGCCATTTTTTTTAACATTGGGTTGCCTAGATAATATTTAGATGTTTTTCGATTCGCGTATAATTAGAATTTCAGAATTTTACATGACAGAGCATATTGACTTGGTGTATATACTCCAAAACAGAGTAGAAAAGAAAATTGTATATTTTTTCTGACAGATTATATTCAGAGCAATTTTGCTTTTAACATTGGGGTGCCTAGATAATATTTAGATTTTTTTTGATTCACGTAAATTTAGAATTTCGGTATTTTACATGAGAGAGCATATTGAGTTGGTGTATATACTCAAAAACAGAGTAGAAAAGGGCATTGTATATTATTTCTGACAGATTGTATTCAGAGGCATTTTGCTTTTAACGTTGAGATGCCTAGATAATATTTAGATTTTTTTCGATTCGCGTAAAATTAGAATTTTCGTACTTTACATGAGAAAGCATATTGAGTTGGTGTATATAACCCAAAACACAGCAGAAAAGGGCATTGTATATATTTTCTGACAGATTATATTCAGAGCAATTTTCTTTTAACATTGGGGTGCCTAGATAATATTTAGATTTTTTCGATTCGCGTAAAATTAGAATTTCGGTATTTTACATGAGAGAGCATATTGAGTTGGTGTATATACTCCAAAACAGAGTAGAAAAGGGCATTGTATATTTTTTCTGACAGATTATATTAAGAGCAATTTTGCTTTTAACATTGGGGTGCCTAGATAATATTTAGATTTTTTCGATTCGGGTAAATTAGAATTTCTGTATTTTACATGAGAGAGCATATTGAGTTGGTGTATATACTCCAAAACAGAGTAGAATAGGGCATTTATATTATTTCTGACAGATTATATTCAGAGCAATTTTGATTTTACATTGGGGTGCCTAGATAATATTTAGATTTTTTCCAATTCGCTTAAATATAGAATTTCTGTATTTTACATGACAGAGCATATGGAGTTGGTGTATATACCCCAAAACAGAGTAGAATAGGGTATTGTATATTTTTTCTGACAGATTATATTCAGAGCAATTTTGTTTTTACATTGGGGTGCCTAGATAATATTTAGATTTTTTTCGATTCGCGTAAAATTAGAGTTTCGGTATTTTACATGAGAGAGCATATTCAGTTGGTGTATATACTCCAAAACAGAGTAGAAAAGGGCATTGTATATTTTTTATGACAGATTATATTCAGAGCCATTTTCTTTTAACATTGGGGTGCCTAGATAATATTTAGATTTTTTTCGATTCACGTAAATTAGAATTTCTGTATTTTACATGAGAGAGCATATGAGTTGGGTATATACTCCAAAAAGAGTAGAACTAGGGCATTGTATATTTTTTCTGACAGATTATATCAGAGCAATTTGTTTTTAACATTGGGGTCCTAGATAATATTTAGATTTTTTAGATTCTGTGTAAATTAGAATTTTCTGTATTTTACATGAGAGCGCATATTGAGTTGGTGTATATACTACAAATACAGAGTAAGAAAGGGGCATTGTATATTTTTTCTGACAGATTTATTCAGAGCAATTTGCTTTTAACTTGGGTGCCTAGAAATATTAGATTTTTTTTCGATTCGCTCAAAAATAGAATTTCTGTATTTTACATGAGAGAGCATATTGAGTTAGTGTATATACTCCAAAACAGAGTAGAATAGGGCATTGTATATTTTCTCTGACAGATTATATTCAGAGCAATTTTGCTTTTAACATTGGGGTGCCTAGATAATATTTAGATTTTTTTCGATTCACGGAAAATTAGAATTTCTGTATTTTACATGAGAGAGCATATTGAGTTGGTGTATATACTCCAAAACAGAGTAGA